CGCGACCATCTGCTGCTGCCTCTTTCGCAAACCCAGAAAATTCATGTAAGCCACAGGACACAGCTCAGATATTTTTCACAATGTGAGGGCAGGTTTGCAGCACAGCTCAGATATTTTTCACAATGTGAGGAGTTGGTAGGGCAGGTTTGCAGGCTGGGGATCGAACCAGGGACGTTCTGCATTCCAAGCAGGGGCTCTGCCACCGAGCCACAGCTCCTCCCAACACACGTGAAGCTGCTTCATACTGAATCAGACCCTCGGTCCATCACGGTCAGTCTTGTATTCTCAGGCTGGCAGCCGCTCTCCAGGGTCTCAGGCGGAGGTCTTTCACATCACCCACTGTCAGATCTCTTAACTAGAGATGCCAGGGATTGAACCTGGGACCTCCTGCATGCCAAGCAGATGCTCTGCCACTGAGCCACGGCCCCTCCAACGTTTCACCCCGCTGCTGAAAGCAAGCTCAGCTTTTAGTCAGGTGGGAGGGCAGAGTTTCCAAGCCAAAACTCACCAGCTGGAGGCTCGGTATCGCTGCTAGGAGCAAGGCAATATTTACTGTTGTGTGCTCTTGGATGAAGTAACGATTCTCACATGACAAGGAGTCTTGCCGGAAAGATGTGGCTGCCACGCTAGGCTTCCTCATGCTGACGCTGGAGCCACTTTTTATGGTGAAGCTGGAGCCTGCTTTCAAAAGCGACAGTTAGTCACAAGGAACAGAAACAGGAAGATGACCACAAGCGCCGCTTTTCCGTTTGCTCTACAGATGGAAGAACACAAGCAATTAATTTGAGAATACGTCGGAAAAGCGTTCAAGGCCGAGCAAGCTGTTCCTTCTCTTACTTTTGCTGTGATTACAGCATCACCGCGAAGCACTGCAAAAGCATCCGAGCAACTGTCACGGCGCAATGTTATTTCAGCATGATAAGATGTCCTCTTATCCAGAACTCGCTGTGGATTTTTCTCCAGGGAAAATCACCCTTCCTCCTTCATGACATGCGGAACTGATCTACTTAAGAGTGATTCCTTTCGGTCAATGCAGTTTTTATCTCTGCCCATGGTTCAGGCAGGGAGCCTTTTTATTTCTGGGCAATTCCTTAGAACATCCCTTTTGTGTTGAAGCCATCAAAAATTAATTTACCTTCAAAAAAATACATCACAAAACTGCACCGGGGAAGCCGCCTTGGTGGCTCTTGTGAGGGCAGAAAGGCAGGATATACATTTTGTAAACAAAAAATAAATGAGGTTATGATGGCACAAACTGTGGCCAATCAGTCCTGTGCACCTCAACCTCTAGTCGAGCCTAGCTGAACTGGCTTCCTCTGAGGTTGACCCTGAAAAGGATTCAATACATGTAGAAGAATCTTCTTCACTACCCAAAGGAGTCTCAGAGCGGCTTACAAACTCCTTCCCCTTACAAACTCCTCACAATAGACACCCTGTGAGGGAGGTGGGGCTGAGAGAGCTCTGACAGAAACTGCTCTTTTTCAAGAACACCTGTGCCAGAACGATGGCTTGCCCAAGGTCACACCAGCAGCTGCATGGGGAGGAGTGGGGAATCAAACTCGGTTCTCCCAGATTAGAGTCCGCGCACTTAACCACTACACCAGACCGTAGCAAGAGGATGATGATACACTTCCAGAGTAGAACAGTTCTTAAAAACGTGCCTGTGTGTATCCTCATCTGCTTTAACTGAATTCTTACTAAGGTTACAGAATGAGCAAGGGAGCAGAAATACCATCTTTCTAAAATGCATATTCCATAATGGTTATTCCTGTGAATAATACTCATGTCAAGCATATTCTATCCCTTTCCGGAAAATGCCAAAGGAAGATAATGCCTATATCCTGCCTGAAGAGCAAAGGAAAACTCTGGGAGACCCTCCTGTGAGTTCACTGCAAATGATGTACTTGGGAGGTTAAAAACTAGGGAGTGCACGCTGGCATACGGGAAGATGCAAACAGTACAAAACCATCTTTCGTAGCCACCACAAGAACACCTGCCACGGAGCTCTTTACTCAAATGAGTGAAGTTTTATCTGAAAAGGCTGTCTCTGCAGCCGAGTGACACGCAATTGGGCTGCCAGGATTCCAAGGCACAGAACGGGAAACTACGTGAGCAGAACATCGGGCTGTTGCTGATCGGGTTTCGCATCAGGGAGATGGCATTCCGCTGCATATTTCCTGCCTACCACCCCCATAGCAGTAAGTGCTTTCTGCCTTTTCTTCCCCCAGGTGGGCAACTTTAAAAATGCATAACCGCAAAGCTGCTCGTTAAATGCAAGCTCAGCTACCGAGCCAGAGAATATTTTCCAACCAGTGATAAACCGTGCGCTGCTGCCCTCATAAAACTCCCCTGTATACACTTAACGTGTACTCACCATTGTGCAGAAGACCCAGGACGAGAGGGGCCTGGCCGAACTGCAAACTGAGCCAAGGTTTGAAGGACAGGAATGCTCAGAAACACTGTTCAGTGGAGCAACCTACTCCGATGAAGCAAAAATAAAAACGACTTTTTATATTCCTGACTCTATTCTGCCTGCATTGCATTTCTGCGGCTGATGTGGAAATACAGAATCACAGAGTTGGAAGGGGTCCCAGAGGCCATCTAGTCCAACCCCCTGACCAATGCAGGACCAGCCTAGAGCATCCCCAACAAGTGTCCGTCCAGCCGCTACCTGAAGGCTGCCAATGGGGCAATGAGGGGGGGCTCACCACCTCCCCAGGCAGCCAATTCCGCTGCTGAACTAATCTTACCGTAAAATTTCCCCCCTAATATCTAGCCGGTACTCTCCAGCCTGCAATTTAAGCCCATTATTGCGAGTCCTATCTTCTGTGGCCAACAGGAACAGCTGATACGGCATCTGATGCAGAATCTGCCAGCCTCAGAATCTATTTATTTCATGAAAAACTGTGATTTATTAGTCCTCCCGGCAGTGGGTGGAAGCTGGGAACACACACGAAGCTCCCTTCTATTGAATCAAACCCTTGGTTCATGCAGGTCAGTCTTGTCTGCTCAGACGGGCAGTGGCTCTCCAGGGTCTCAGGCCTTTGGAGGTCTCAGGCAGAGGTCTTTCCCATCCCCACCTGCCTGGTCCTTTCAACTGGAGATGCTGGGGATTGAACCAGGGACCTTCTGCATGCCAATCAGAGGCTCTACCACTGAGCCACGGGCACTCTTTACAGCTCTCTGGGTTCTCAGGCGGAGGTCTTTCCCATCACCTCCTGTCTGGTTCTCTTTAACTGGAAATGCTGGGGATTGAACCTGGGACCTTCTGCATGCCAAGCAGAGGCTCTGCCACTGAGCCACAGCCCCTCTTTACAGCTCTCCAGGGTCTCAGGCAGAGGTCTTTCCCATCCCCACCTGCCTGGTCCTTTCAACTGGAGATACTGGGGATTGAACCAGTGACCTTTTGCATGCCAAGCAGAGGCTCTGCCACCGAGTCACAGCTCCTCCCAACACACATGAAGCTGCTTTATACTGAATCAGCCCCTGGGTCCATCAAGGTCAGTCTTGTCTACTCAGGCTGGCAACCGCTCTCCAGGGTCTCAGGCAGAAAAGGGTCTTTCCCATCACCACCTGCCTGGTCCTTTTTAACTGGAGATGCTGCCGGGGATCGAACCTGGGACCTTCTGCATGGCAAGCAGGGGCTCTGCCACTCAGACATGGCCCCTCCGCAATAAAGAATTCAGGGGGGAATGAAGCAGAGCTGCTCAGACTTTTTTTTGGGGGGGGGTTTGACAAGTCATAGCTGACTTTATGGTGACAATCAGAGATAAAAGAAATACGGCCAAGGCTGATGGAGAAAGTTAAAAAAACCCCGTATTTCCTTCATGCAGTCGTAAGGACTGAATAAGCTCCAGCGATTATACTTAATCAGGGGTCATTTGGTAGAAAAAGAGGTGCAGGAGCTCATTAGCATAACCTATTAGCATAACTCATTTGCATATGCCACACCCCCTGACATCACCGGAAGTGTGTCAGAAGGCAACACCCATTGCAACTTACCTGGCTGCTTCCCTCTCCTCATGGCCTGGGGCTGCTGGGAACAGGGGGCGGGGCTTGTTGCATGTGCCCGCCCCCTGGGCTCTTTAGTGCCGGAGCTCCGCTCCTGTGCGCTCCTGCAGGAAATGACCCCTGTACTTAATGGTTACGTATCTAGTGGATATTATATTATACTGTACAAATTGCAATTTGATTTTTAAAACAACGCTTTATTTACGTGATTTTAACTAAATGACCAATGCGGTATAATTATGAGAAGTCAGTATTGTATTTGTGGATTCTGTTACAGATTCTGCTGTATGGGAATGCACAGGGAATTTTTAGCTGAGTAATAAAACACATTCCCCCCCCCCTTTTACTCGCACCATCAGCCTTGGCCTTATTTTTTTTAATCCTGCAACTAATAAGAGGCCAACAAGAAAGATCAGTCCTAGTGGCTTGGGGTTTTCTTCTGCCAGGGCAACTGTGCAACTTGCAAGAGAAACATACACATATCTGGGGACGTGTTACTCCCCTTGCCTCAGGCAGGCTGTTTGCCTCTTAACAAACATTTTACAGCAACACATGTTCATCTCTCTGTTTATAGGTCCATCTTTTACATTCCCCAAAAATGTCACCAACGCTTTCCCAAAACAATGAAAAACTACTCTGGACCACACACAGAAATAATGTGCTGTGTCCTAGGCGTTAGACAATGGATGCTGTCCACGGCCAACTTTTTTCTATTCCGAACCTGACGGGGCGTGGCAAACTTGCAGGACTGATCATCCAGGGTTCACCCTGGGAAAAGAATGAGGCACATTTGCATGGAGGATGCTTCCAGATTAGCCCTGCCACTTCAGAAATATTATGGCTCTCTTCCTTCTTTGTTAAAGGGCACCAGCTATGAATAATATATAAGAAGGCCTTCAGGAAGCATAAGGCACCAGTCTTCAGAGGTGGGAAAAATACATCCACGCTGTACAACCGGAGTAAGTTCTAAAATAATTGCGACATATCCAAAATCACAAGTTGGTTTCAAAGTAAGACAACGGATGAGTTTTATTTCAAGGTGACGGGGGCAGACGGGAAAAGCAAGAGGGAACAAGTGGTCAAGCCAACCGTTTTCTGTTCAACATAAAAACGGCTACTGCCTTAACAGAGAACGTTATAAATAAAGGTTACAGAGTGGAGAGGACGGAAACAAAATGATACGTGTCAAACAGAGGATGCAGCTGCACACCTTCTCCAGCAAGAGGTAAACCTGTTTGAAGAAATGAAAACTAAAGTGATGCAGGTGAGCCGTACTAAATTTTGGAGAGATCTCGGAGCAAAAACAAATCAGTATATGTTACAAGCCTACTCTGACTGGACAAAACTTGGTCAGTACTAAGTGTTAAAAACCCACTTTATAAAGACTGCTTGCAAGAGACAAGAGGGGCCACAACCTGGTAAGACTCGCAGCTGCGCTTGGGTATGCACGTGCAACTCGCATTCACCCCACTGCATTCCGTTTTTTAGAAAACCCCAGAAAATCCAGCAGTTTTATAGAAGAACATGCTCTAGCTCAGCAAAGCTACGCAACCCAGGATCCGAAATCCACAGCCATAACCCCTTACCACGTGGGAGAACACGTACACAAATCATTTAAGGACAGAAGAAATTAACAAGGCTTTTCTGATCTCAAGTTTAGGAGTTGACAAACAAACCTGCCCTGCCACTCAAATCCACCCCTTTACCAATTTCCCTCTGGAACATCTTCAGGTCCTTTCAATGGACAATCCACTCAGAGAGAGCTTGTGCTAATAAGTTGTTGAGTGGGACACGCAGCAACGGTGGCGTTCCTGGAACAACTCGGAAACTTGGCAGGGGGGGGGGGGAGAAGGGCAGGGCCACGTACCGCTTTGCAAGCGACTGGCTTCTTGCAAAGCAGCCAAGGACAGTGGAGTGTGATCCGCCAGCAGTTAGTGCTTAAAAATGACAGCGGCTCTCAATCTGGTCGCGTACCCCTAAGTTACCGCCTCGGATTCAATTTTTTAAAAAATAAACTGAAGATTACTCTTTGAAAGATATCTCATAAATCTTTTTTTTAAAAGTGACTTTCCTGAAGGTTATAAAAGATTAGTCAAAACTTTTTCTAATATGAAGAGTTTGGACAAGCAGATCTAGTTCCTGGTTCGAGAGTTACGGTGACATGTCATGACGAGGAGGGGGAGGAGTCCACAGCAGAGGCGGCAATCTACGGCTGACGTCCCAAAGAGACGCACGGAAAAGGCCTGACTGCGCAGGGACACATCCTTTCCCGAGCTGGGCGTCTAGCTTGTGGGCTTTCCACACGGAGGAACCGGTTAGTACTCTATTTACAGTCAAAAAATATCTTCCCCCTGCCCTCCCTTTTCTTTCTTCAGCGGAGCGGGAACGCCGGTGACGTCGAGTCAGTGGAAACCTAACAGAGGTGTAGGACAGCTTTGTTGATCTCTGGGTTTGTCCAATCGTTCCGGATGTCGTCCAAGTGATTATCAAAATCCACTAGCATTTCGTAGGACCTGCTGTCCAAAAGCGAAGCGGAGATCCTCTGGGCTTCTGACCAGTCTTCGCAGTAATCACTAGGAAGTGGGAGGGAAGAAAATAAAGGCATTAAAAGCCCTCGCTCGAGAGGAATCGATCTTCAAGGCTGCTTTAGTCAGAATGGAGGGGGGGAGGGAATCTTTGAAGCGTCGTGCAGAATTGCTCTGGCAGGCAGAAGCTCAGCTACACTATAAATTTAAAGAGGATTTTAAAAGACTTTGAGGAATGCTGCTTACTATGAGGAATCCTGGGAACTACAGCTGCGGTGAGCGCAAGTGAGCCCCTGGCAGAAATGCTGGCCTGGACCCAACCGTGCCAGTTTGGTGTAGTGGTTAAGTGCGCGGACTCTAATCTGGGAGAACCGGGTTTGATTTCCCCACTCCTCCACTTGCAGCTGCTGGATGACCTTGGGAAAGCCATAGTTCTGTCAGAGCTGTTCTTGAAAAGGCAGTCCTCGAAAGAGCTCTCTCAGCCCCACCTACCTCACAGGGTGCCTGTTGTGGGGAGGGGAAGGGAAAGGAGTTTGTAAGCCGCTCTGAGACTCCTTTGTGTAGTGAAGGGCGGGGGTATAAATCCAATCTCTTCTTCTTCATCATCATGCATTTGCATTTATTTGCATGCATCAGTTTATTTATATCCCGCTTTTCTTCCCAAGTGGGACTCAAAGCAACTTAGCATCTTATTGAGTTACATAGGAATTTCTTGTGGTGTTTTATTGATAGTTATATGAAACATTCAGTGAGTTATGTTGTGAAATGTCATATCTTTTGGTTTACTTTTACCATAGTTCATCGATTGTATTGCTGTTTTTTGTATTTAATAAAAGATTTATATAAAAAAGCAACTTAGTGCATTGTTCTCCTCTCCTCCATTCTCACAACAACAACCCTGTGAAGTAGGGCCAGGCTGAGAGTCTGTGTTGGGCCCAGGTCACCCAGCAAGTCTGCATGGGAGAAGGAGACATTTGAACCTGGGTCGCTCAGGGTCCTTAACCCACCACTCTATCCGTTAAAACACAATGGCTCTTGATTTTCCTTAAACAGGGGTGCCAAATTTCACCAATCATTCCCTTCCACTGCAATCCCGTTAGACGCCTGAAATTCTGCCTCTGGGGTATCACTCAACCTTTAGGAACAACCTGTGGTGGAGCAGGCAATATAAGCAGAAAGTCCATGCCCCTTCTTATAAAAACTTACGGGCACTCAAGTTTTCTTAATGGGATTGGATGTGTGCTGCTATTTCCATAAGTTCCTTGGTATAAGATAGTAAACCTTCCAAAGCTGACCTCTCACAGCAACCAGATGCAGTTGATAAGAACATAAGAACATCAGAGAAGCCAATGTTGGGTCAGGCCAATGGCCCATCCAGTCCAACACTGTCACACAGTGGCCAAAAATACCAGGTGCCCTCGGGAGGTCCAGCAGTGGGGCCAGGACACCAGGAGCCCTCCCACTGTTGACCCTCCCCCCCCAAGCACCAAGCATACAGAGCATCCCTTGCCCAAGCCTGAGAGTTCCTATCTATCCCTGGTGGCTAATGGCCACAGAGAGACCTCTGCTCCATATAAGAACATAAGAGAAGCCAATGTTGGATCAGGCTAATGGTCCCTCCAGTCCAACACTCTGTCACACAGTGGCCAGAAACGCCAGGTGCCCTCAGGAGCTCCAGCAGTGGGGCCAGGACACCAGGAGCCCTCCCACTCTTGCCCCCCCCCAAGCACCAAGCATACAGAGCATCCCTTGCCCAAGCCTGAGAGTTCCTATCTATCCCTGGTGGCTAATGGCCACAGAGAGACCTCTGCTCCATATAAGACCATCAGAGACGCCAATGTTGGATCAGGCTAATGGTCCCTCCAGTCCAACACTCTGTCACACAGTGGCCAGAAACCCCAGGTGCCCTCGGGAGGTCCAGCAGTGGGGCCGGGACACCCTCCCACTCTTGCACAGACCCAAAAGAATAGGCCAAGGATACTCACAAGTGGGGGTCTTTGCATCGCCATTTGCTCTCGTGGTGCTCGTACACGTGAACCGCAGGCTCTATGCACTCCATTGTGAATTTCGTATTATCCACCTGAACAGAAACAGAGGACAGGGATGCTTTTGCTTCTGAACGGAGGAGGACGAACTGGCTGCACCGTCTTCAACGCAGCAGCTCCTTCCTTTAGCATTACTGACAGATTACATGCAGGTTCCCGGCCTAGGTCTCCGTGCACTGGGACCGTGAAGGAGCTCTCGCCTGGAGATGTGCTGGGATAGGAACCAGGTACGCAAGGGGTCATCGCAAATCGTGTGAACCTTATGGCAACCGGTAGGGCTCTCAAGGCAAGAGGCCAACAGAGGTGCTTTGGCGTTCCCTGACTCTGTGTGGCGAACCTTAATGTCCTCGGTGGTCTCCCACCCAAGTACTAACCAGGCCCTGCTTAGCTTCTGAGAGCTGATGAGATCGGGCCCACAGAACCCTAACCTCACCCGTTCATCTGGTGAGCAACCCATGTTGGGTCAGCAACGGAAATCCAGCAAGTTGGGTCCAAAGTTTCCTTTCCCGCTAAGTGAGAAATCTTATGCTGGAGGAAGAATCAATCCATTGGAAGGAGAACGTGTACGCGCAGAAGACCCCCCCCCTTTCTTCAAGCCACACCCTCTAATTTCTCCCTTAGCAGAACCCTGGAACACACCCCACTGTTGCAAAGGACTCTGGGACACGTTCTTTGGCGCACTCTCAGTTAGCACAGGTCAGGCCGGCTGGCCTTCACCACTGCCATGTATGAACAGAATGCAACATCTAAAACATAACGTAACATTCTTATTGCTGTGCGTTGCAGGGGAAGGTTAGGGCAGGCGAGCAAGCTGTTTGCCAAGGAAATTGGTCCCTATGCATTGATTAACCCCTGTGACGTTCCCAAGGAAAACAGCTTCAAAGCCCGTCCAGCTCCCTTTGCGTTAGCTATTCGGGGCTGTCCGACAGACCCGCAAAAGGCTGTGCCGGGTCAAGTGATCGTTCAGAAACGCTCCAAGAAACCGAAGCCTTCCTGGCTATAAACCGAACGTTAAGGGAAACAGTAATGAAAGCAGATACCATTATAAGTGCCGTGTCATTGAAATGCTCCGCAATCCTGGATGCTACCCTTTCGGCAACCTGGTTTGGACTGCAAAGGAAGGGCAAGTTAATTGCATGGGTTCTACTGTATTTCACGACACTCAAGGATGAAAAAGAAAAGGTGAGATGCAGACGTAGGGACACAGGATCGTGCAAACAAGACAAAGACATTAATGAGACAGTGAGCATTGGCTGAACTTGAACACTATAGATAGAGAAGGTAGCAGTATGACAATAATAATTACAATAGAATTACTGCAAAACGTGCAAAATATTATAGAATCCAATATAACACGCAGTCAAAATGTAATCAGTCCATTGTTTTAATCTCTTTTCAACAGTGAAGACGTCAAAGATGAAAAGTGAAGACGTCAATGAAGAAAGAATGGACGAACTTCCCCGGAGTTACCACTCGTTTCGAATTTTTCTTTTTCATACATAAGATCTCAGCTCTGCATCTGCATAATCACAAGGTTTCCAAATTGGACTCTTTCTAGTTCCGAAATACTTCCAAAGTAGCTGATCAGCCCGGGTTAGATATATTGGCTAAGAGCCTGATGTGAGCTACTTTTGAAGTATTTAGGAACTAGAAAGAGTCCAATTTGGAAACCTTGTGATTATGCAGATGCAGAGCTGAGATCTTATGAAAAAGAAAATTCGAAACGAGTGGTAACTCCAGGGAGGTTCGTCCATTCTTTCTTCTTGTTGAAGAGATTAGAACAATGGACTTATTACATTTTGACTGCATGTTATATTGGATTCTATAATATTTGCACGTTTTGCAGTAATTCTATTGAACTTGAACACTGCCTTCTACGGAATTCGCACCCTCGGTCCATCAAAGCCAGCACTGTCTACTCAGACTGGAAGTGGCTCTCTAGGGTCTCAGGTGAAGGTCCTTCACATCACCCTCCTACCCGATCCTTTTAGTTGGAGATGCTGGGGATTGAACCGGGGGCCTTCCACATGCCAAGCAGATGCTCTGCCACTGAGCCACAGCCCCTTCCCTAAACAGGCCCCTCCTGGTTGGTACGAGGTGGGGAAACAGCTGAGACACACGTGAACCTGCCACACCGAATCAGACCATCGGTCCTTCAAGGTCAGTATTGTCTGCTCGGCTCGCCGGGGTCTCGGGCTGAGGTCCTTCCCATCACCTACTACCTGATCCTTCCAACTGGCGACACCAGGGATTGCGCTCGGGATCTTCTGCAAGCCAAGCAGATGTGAAAGACCTCTGCCTGAAACCCTGGAGAACAGCTGCCAGTCTGAGTAGGCAATGCCGACCTTGACAGACCAAAGGTCTGATTCAGTACAAGGCAGCAGTCTTCCCTCTAAGCTGAGATTGTGTGAGCTAGCTCACAGTTTTTTAGCCTCCGGCTCACACATTTTTGTCTTTGCTCAGGAAGGAGGGCTCCAGAGCAAACTAATTTATGCATTAGCCAAATCACTTGCTCACATCTTTGATGCCAGTAGCTCACAAAGTAGGATTTTTGCTCACAAGACTCCACAGCTTAGAGGGAACATTGCAAGGCAGTGTGGGTATTTTTTGCCATGGGGCCCGAAAGGTGGAACAACAGCTGGGGAATATCACAGTTGCATCCTCCAGTCGGGCTCTTATTCTTTGACTGTCCCTTGTCCAACATGGCTTACAGCATGCTGCCTTTTTATCCTGCTTGTCAGCCGAACCTTGGCTCCCAACCCAGCTTATGGTATCAGAAACACCACAAATAGTAATTACTAGAAGATACAAAAGTGGGGTGGGGTGGGGGCTGGTCTGCAACATTTCGGTCCTGTTGGTAGGTGGGCTCCAGAGGCAAGGCATTAGCAGCAACACACCTGGCATCCTTCAGACGTTCGTTGGCTTGGTAGTACCCAGCTATTACGTAGCTGTTCTCTTTGCACCAGGAGTCAATCTGGAAAAAGAGGGACATCGTAAACGACTGTGAGCATCGGAAATCCGTCTCTAGCGCTGGCTCAAACGGCACAACTGCATGCGGGCAACTGGACTCGGACAACCATGACGCCCATTCCCAGGGCAATCAGCCTGCCTGTGATGAGTCTCTCTCTCTCTCTGCTAACAAATAAGGACAACTCTCTTGGTGGAAAGGAGAGAAAAACTGGTGACTGACAGCTTCGTATATTAAAATTTCTATCTGGTGATAACGGCACCCCTCAGGTGAAACACTGGATTGCTGTTTTTGTTAATCATTTACTTTTTAATTTACACCCGCTCTTTACAGTTTTCTGTCTTGTTCGTCATTATCGACCTCCCTATGAAGCAGGTCATTACTGTTCCCGTCTTACAGGATATGAGAAATGAGACGACCGTGAATGAGTTGAGGCCATAAACTGAGTCTGCAACAGAAAAACCATTGTGGGGCTCCTGGATATTATTGCTCCAATCTCTGCCCGCTGGACTGCCAGGCTATGGGATACCACCCTCTCTATATTTTACTGGCCAAAACGCAATGCGGTGGACACAGGAGATTTGGGGCATCTTCCTGTTAAAAAGGAGCTGTGGTGGCTCAAGTGGTTAAGACGCTGAACTGCAGGTTGGAAGGTTGGTAATTCAGCAGTTCGAGACCCGACTGCCGCGTGACAGAGTGAGCTCCCGTCTCTGGGTCCAGCTCCTGCCAACCTAGCAGTTCGAAAGCAAGAATTTGCAAGTAGATAAATAGGTACCGCTTCTGTGGGAAGGTAACAGCGTTCCGTGCCCCTTGGTGTTTAGTCATGCTGGCTACATGGCCATGGAAACGTTTTTGGACAGCGCTGGCTCTTCGGCTTGGAAACAGAGATGAGGACTGCAACCCTAGAGTCGGATTCGACTGGGTTTCGATCAAGGACCTTTTACCCTCCTGCTATGGCCTCGCAGTTTGATCCAGCAGGGATCATAAGAAGAGCCCTGCTGGATCAGACCAGTGGTCCATCTAGTCCAGCATCCTGTTTCACAAAGGGGCCAGCCAGTTCCTCTGGAGGGCCAACAACATCCCCTGACGTTGCCTCCTGGCACTGGGATTCAAAGGCTGACTTGCCTCTGAATGTGGAGGTTCCCTTTAGTCACCATGGCTTGTAGCCACCAACAGACCTATCCTCCACGAATCTGTCTAATCCCCTTTTACTTAAAGCTGTCTATATCTGGGGCCATCACTACACCCTCTGGCAGCGAATTCCACATTTGAATCACTCTCTGTGTAAAGTATTTCCTTTTGTTCATCCTGAATCTACACCCCATCAGTGCAGAAAAGGGCAACTAGAATGATAAAAGGATTGGAACACTTTCCCTATGAAGAAAGGTTAAAGCGCTTGGGGCTCTTTAGCTTGGAGAAACGATGGCTGAGGGGTGACATGATCGAGGTTTACAAGATTATGCATGGGATAGAGCAGGTAGAGAAAGAAGTCCTTTTCTCCCTTTCTCACAAGAACTGAAGTGGGCACTCAATGAAATTGCTGAGCAGTCAGTTAGAACGGGTAGAAGGAAGTCCTTCTTCACCCAAAGAGTGATTAACACAAGGAATTCCCTGCCACAGGAGGTGGTGGCAGCTACAAGCATTGATGGCTTCAAGAGGGAATTAGATAAACACATGGATCAGAGGTCCATCAGTGGCTATGAGTCACAAGGTATAGATAGGAACTCTCAGTCTGGGGCAAGGGATGCTCTGTATTCTTGGTGCTGGGGGGGGCAAGAGTGGGAGGGCTTCTAGTGTCCTGGCCCCACTGCTGGACCTCCTGATGGCACCTGGTATTTCTGGTCACTGTGTGACACAGAGTGTTGGACTGGATGGGCCACTGGCCTGATCCAACTTTGGCTTCTCTGATGTTCTTATGTTCACTGGATGCCCTTGAGTCCTAGATTGTTCTCTTAGGCATTATTGCCCTTTGGTAAAACGGACACAGGGGCCTACCTCACAGGCGACTGCTCTGAGGGCGAACAAAGTATTTGTGAAGGACTGCAAAGGACCCTTACAAATTATTAAAAGGTAAAGGTAAAGGTTCCCTTGCTCGAAAGCCAGTCGAATCTGACTCGAGGGTTGCGGTGCTCATCTCCGTTTCCAAGCCGAAGAGCCAGCGCTGTCCGAAGACGTTTCCATGGTCATGTGGCCGGCATGACGAAACACCAAGGCGCACGGAACGCTGTTCCCTTCCCACCGAAGCGGTACCTATTTATCTACTTGCAATTTCTTGCTTTCGAACTGCTAGGCTGGCAGGAGCTGGAACTAGAGACGGGAGCTCACTCCATCACGCGGCACCCTCGGGTCTCGAACTGCTGAACTACGACCTTCCACAGCCTGCAGTTCAGCGTCTTAGCCACTTGAGCCACCGCAGCTCCATACAAATTATTAGCACTATTTAATTACCTAACACCACCTTGTTTTCATCACAGACGACACAGTCTACCTTGCAGATTTTTCTCCTCGCCCTTCCTCCAAGCGGCTTAGAGGAACAGCAGGATGACCGCATTGTGATCGACACAGATGTGGGAGCAGGCGAGCCCCAGAAAAGGAGGGGAAGCTACAGAGGAGTGTTTGAAGGAAAGAGGGAGGGTGCCCCCTTTTCCATGTCTGCACATAGGGTGGAAGGGCAGATCTGGGATGGGAATTGATATGACTGGGGAAAGCAGACAGAGTGAGCTGAGCAGGATTTTGCACAGCCGCCCAGCTGTTTCAGCTGCCCGGAGTGGAGGGGAGGCAGTGACTGGAAGATTCCAGAGACGGGGAAGGGACAAGAAGAGTGGCCCCACTAGACTAATTCAAAGTGGCCCGCAGCAAAACCTGCTGGTGACTAAAAGCTGCGGGGTAAAGGAACACCCGGCCCTCAAGATGCTCCGTCGAAGACCGGGCACAGACGGATGTCTGGTTGCTTCTTTCCCTGCATCGGTCACCTTAATTAGCAAGGACATCTGCAGGAAACTCACATGATTTTATCCTAATGTATCATTTAATCTGCCACAAAGCTTTACAAAAATACCCTGTGTGAATTAGAGGGGCAAATTCATATTGGATATTCGGTGTTAGGAGGCATGATTGATTTAAAATGATGCCTTTATCCCAGCTCAGATTTTGGCCCCGTTCCACGGCGGCTTTAAATCTACCATGTTTGCGACTCGCAATAAGAGTATCAGATTAAGATAATCCAGCGCTTTAGGGAGGTAGAAAAACCCAAGGAAATTGTGTTTGTTGCTCTCAAATACTATCTCCCCCCCCCTCCACCAAAGAAAGAATTAAAGTGGATTCCAGAATATTTCTGATGCTGAACTCTAGGCCTCGTGCAAAACACATCCATCTCATGGTTAGCTGGAATAATTACAGCCCCAAATTAAACTGTCTAAAAGCAGAACAAAGCTACACAAATAATCTCTTACGAAGGAATGACATGGATTTATGTGTTTCATTAAATTGTCATTCTCTGGCATTGTTGTACTTAGAGCCAACTGCCTTCGCAATCATAGACCCCATTTCCAGGGTTTAAAGATGCCATTTAAATTGCCAGCCCATTGAAATCTTGTAACTAAAAACCAAATGCCGGGATAAAACATTCTTGTTCACAGTAAACATTAAGAAGCTTGTCTGGATTTTTTCCCTTTTCTCCTCTACAGCAGGCTTAGCTCCCACTCAACCAGAAGACGGAGGGGGGGAAAAAGAAAAGGATGGTTTCTCTGTTCTGGTTTTGCCAACGAGTGGCCATAACAAGTTTCACTATCTTTAAGTGCTGTAGGATTCTCTTGTGAAACTCCCAATGCTCAGTGCAAAAGAAGTTTAACATGTAAGCAAATGAGCTACTGTTATGATTTATAGATTTTTGAAAGAACAATATAAAGAAAATTATTTTACACTGCTAAGACCCTAATGTGCACACATCACCTACACAAGCCCTAGCTCTCCCCAAGTAGGCAGCTTTGCATCGTATTGTAACAATAAATGTTAAGAATCTGCAGTGTCATAGAGAGTATCTCTAGGATGACTCCATCCCAGCATGACCAGGCTTTGACAATCACCATACTTGAGTTCTCAGAGTGACCCTTGCAAATACACTACAAAGCTGCTAGCTCATCTGTCCATGCTGAGTTATTTAGCCAAATATGGGCTTAATATGTACAAACCCTCCCCCCCCAAAAAGAGTCTTGGGGCACCTTAAACAAAGCTCTCAGGGCATATACGTTTGAGAGGTCGAGTCCAATTCCTCAAATGCTACATATATATTTCTACATCTGCTTGCTTGAGGCAATGAAAATTGAGAAATGTTCACAAACCTGGCCTGGTAACCCCAGGATGCTTCCTGCATCTTTAAACCGGCATCAATGGAGAAATTAGAAAGAAGGCAAGAAGCAGGTGGGCATCCCCTTCACTCTGCCCGGGTGCGGCTCTAGCTAGGAATCACGCCCCCATGCACACACAGCAATCCCATATGAACCTACCCAACAACTGCTTCAGGTGCCCCCTCTCCCAGCAACTTGGGCTAGACAGGGAGCAGCTTGCGACAGGACCTTTTCAGTCATGGCACCAAAATGATGCAATTCCCTCTTCAGGGAGATGCATCTGTCCCCTTCTATCCTCGTCTTCTGCCAGCAGGTGAGGACCTCTTTGTGTTTTGTCTGGTGTTCTCTCACGGATTCACATTGACCTTTCCTCCCATTGATGTTTTTAACAAAATTGTTTTACATATTTATATGTGTTTTTAATCTCGATGTAATGTTTTGCTGGCTTGGGCACCCAAAGTTGGATGGAAAGGCAGCTTAAAATAAATAAATAAATAAATAATCTGCATGTGCTTTTGATTCCTTTGAGCAGATTTCTAAACCACTTTTTAGCTGAAAAGTGGGGCAGGAAAACACTCTGCCTTTTCCCGTAGCATGCTTGTCCGGCTCATTTATTCAAGCCACTGGGCACTCTTTGTTGGCGAGTATGCTGCAGCGGCT